CTATGATGCCACAAACAGCGCTCTAGCTCTCTGTGTCCACACATCCTTCCCAACTGTGTAGTCTCTTGCTTAAAGGAAGTGGTCACGATAATTTCATGGAACGATAAGGAAAGCTATGTATTGGAGTGGATAGGAGGTCCTGCCCAATGTTAGAACACGTGAAGTTTCAGTGGCAGTGGCGCCTTATCAACGGAGTGATAAGGCCGAAATCCACTTCCGTTCAGCAAAAACCAAGACTTATCGATGTGGAAAGGGGTGCGATAAGAGCGTGCTAGATATGATACCGTTATCGTTATCGTCCCGTTTTCATTCTGGAGTGCACCTCTTATCAAGCAGCCGCACCTTCTTATCTCATCGTATCATATCTTCCATGGGCTTACACTCGTCCAACAATTACTGCCTCACACCTTATCGATTGATAACGCGAGGGTAGCAAATCCAGCGTGGAAGCCAGCGTGACCGCTTCCTTTAATGAACAACTGCATTGATTCACAGCACGTTCTTTCAGGTCAGGCTTGTTCAAAAAATTGACAGTGGCCATATTTATGCGATGAAGATACTTCGAAAAAGTGAGATGTTGGAAAAGGAACAAGTGAGTAGGTGCAAGTCTTATTCTTCATGGGTCTTTTGTAAAACCTGTTCAGACTGCACACGTTCGAGCTGAACGAGACATTTTATCTGAAGCGGACTGCGAATGGGTAGTGAAGATGTACTATTCTTTTCAAGATTTTGCTAACTTGTATCTCGTTATGGAGTTTTTACCTGGAGGTATGCGTTATTAGTCGATCGTTTTCCTCATAGATCAATCATTTTCTTCATTATCAAGTCTCCCATGAGAACGCTTGCGCAGTTGTAGGTAGGAGGGGAACATTGGGTAAAATCTAGCATTGAAGAAAATTTTATTCAAAGGCTAAGTTCAGTTCAAACTGATGTATTTTTGGGAGCAATGGGGTGGAGATGTAAAGTGTAACGCCAATAATGGAAAAACGGGAAGAGACTGTCGGCAAGGACGAAGTTAAGTCTTTCCCTCCATTAGCGGCGAAGCGAATTAGCACTAATATGTGGGCGGGTTTAATGGTGTTGGGCGGGCCCAATGCAGTATCCTTGGATCCCAGCGCCTCGGCCTTGTCTGGTCACCAAACTTTTATTTAAATGAAATTGTTCACTTCCTGGCGCCTATACGTTTTAGCTCAGGATGTAGTATATCTCTCCATAATCTATCTTGAATAATTTCAGGTGATATGATGACTTTACTAATCAAGAAGGACACCCTGAGCGAGGAAGCGGCCCAGTTCTACATTGCCGAAGCAGCGCTGGCTATCCAGTTCATTCACAACCTGGACTTCATTCATCGCGATATCAAACCTGATAACCTTCTCTTGGATGCCAGGGTGTGTATGAGTTTATAAGTAGTTATGAAACCAATGCTTCACTTAATTCATTTTAATTTTCCAGGGTCACGTGAAATTATCAGATTTCGGATTGTGTACTGGGCTTAAGAAAATCCATCGTACAGAACACTATAGGTGACTCGATTCATTTATTTTATTAAATAGGGGATTTTCTGAACGTATTCATCGCTGTACTCGGCATTTTCTAGGAACTGGCCCTCACAACTGCCCCCAGATTTTGTATCGAAGCCAGTCGAGTCCAAACGCAAGGCTGAAACTTGGAAGAAAAACCGGAGAGCTTATGTAGGTACAATTTTTCAAGGTTGCGTTTTGTAGCGACTGCGCGATTCTGCAGTCACGGTCGCTGTTGCATTCAATCGCTAACTCTAAAACCCACATTACCATGGTCTTCATTTCTTTTTTCGAATCTATAGCTTCATGAAAAACGCATTGAACGACCATTGTCTGGTGTGACCTAATATAAGAAAATGCTATGACGAGGGTATGCATAATGCTTGTTTGTGAAATCTTTACATGTTTTTGGATTATCTATTAAGTTGAACCGGTATTTGCTTGGGTGTGGTTCACTAGGACAGAAAGCGACTTTTTCGCGTTTCGCAGCGCGAAACATTTTCCGCTGCGGGAACCTCGGGTCCACTGGTGATCAGGGGTGGACCTGAGGTTCCCGCAACACGCGAAAAAGTTGGTTTCTGTCCTAGTGAACCGCACCACATTAGCTTTCTTCGAAAGAGAGGCGCTGAGAATGACCTGTGCATCCAGACCTCGTTATGGTTTTCTGTTTCCTTTTCTTTGTAAACTTCGCCTCTTTAGGCGTACTCGACCGTAGGCACACCAGATTATATTGCCCCTGAGGTCTTCCAACCAAATGGTTATACAAAAAGTTGCGATTGGTGGAGTCTCGGTGTTATCCTTTATGAGATGCTCATTGGTGAGTTGATCTCTGCTTAGGCTATTCGATAATCGGTTCCTTTCTTCACTGATCATTTCCAGGCTACCCACCGTTTTGTTCTGAAACCCCGCAAGAGACCTATCGAAAAGTTGTGAATTGGCAACAAACGCTGGTTTTCCCTCCAGAAATGCCAATCAGTGTGGATGCAAAGACGGTGGATTTCTTGAATAACATAGCCCTATTTCGGATCATAATGCTAACTTCTTAGACAATCAAGCGGTTTTGCTGCGAACCTGAACGAAGAATGGGACACAACGGAGGTCTTGAAGAGATCAAGCAGTGTATATTCTTCAGGCGTATCGACTGGAACCACATTAGGTAAGCTGCTGTTCATTTGATTTTCCCTCGATTTGTTGGAATGTTTCATCATCTTTCATTTACTGCACCTTCGTTGGAGCTAGTCATGATTACTTTTTTTGAGAAATTTCAACTTCCAACTGGCTTTACTTACACTACAAAATTTGGCACTATTGCACTATTACAACCCCAGTAGGGGTGAGATGGGTCAAAAAATAATTTTCGCTGAAACTTCGGCTATGGGGGTTATCGAGGGTCCTGATCACGAATATGATATTCATTTTTGGCGCTGGCGCCAATTTGGCGCCATTTGGCGCCATTCGCTGTAAACTTCTGTATAGGGGTTATTTGGGGTCCTGATTACGAATATGACATTCGTTTTGTTAGCGCTATTCGACGCCTATTTCCTGCTCGTTTGCGCCCTCGCACTAATTAGTTCGCAATCAGGACTAAGCCTTTGAATAGTGGAGAG